ATCATCATCTTGTGCGGTGCCTGATTTGGTCAAACATCTTTCCATTGAGTCTGAAATTAATTGATCATCTTTGAATTCATCTGCAAGATCACTAATCATGTCAATAGAAAAGCATGAAGATGATGTCTCATCTCCTGAAAATCTTAGTATCTTTTGCATATCAAAAATGACTCTTTCTTCATCAACTCTCAAGATTAGTTGCCCTTGATGAACATCTATGATTGCTCTTCCTGTAGCAAGAAATGGTCTACCCAAAATTATCGGTTCATCAGGACATTCTTTCATTTCAAGCACTATAAAATCTACAGGGAACACAAACTTATCTACTCTTACAAGTACATTTTCAATTATTCCCTTAGGTTTTTTGGTACTTTGATCTGCAAACTGAAGAGAAACACCTATGTCTTTCATTTCACCAAGATCTAATTTTCTAAAGATAGAAAATGGCATCAAATTTATTGAAGCTCCAGAATCACAAAGTGCTTTTTCAAAATATACTCCTCCCAGAGTGCATGGAATGGTAAAACTGCCAGGATCACCAAGTTTTTGTGGTAGCTTATTTTGAAGTATAGCACTGCATTTTTCAGTAAGCATTACCACAGAAACTTCTTCCAATTTCCTTTTACTTGACAAAATTTCTTTTAAAAATTTAGCATATGAAGGCATTTGCAACAAAGCATCAGTAAAAGGAATATTAATATGAATCTGTTTTAAGATTTCCAAAAACTTTGCAAATTGACCATCAAGCTTTTCTCGTTTCATTTTTTATGGAAAAGGAATTGTCACAGGTGGGGCAACCATTTTTTCAGAAATTTTTTCTTCCTTATTCTTTATTTCTTTCTCCTTTGATGGTTCAGATGGTTTTTCAAAATTCTTACCCTTGTCTACCTGTTGTTCTGTCTGGTTCTTTTCTTGTCTGCCTGCATAAGGTTCATCTAGTTCCTTACCTGACCGTAAAGTGATGGCCTTAAGGTGCTCCCTTGGATTTTTCTCTGTATTTCTTGGTAAGGGACCCTGAATCTTTTCTGACACAAGAGCTGCCAATTGGCTTAATTGAATTTCCAGATTTTTGAGGGATGAATTTTGGCTTTCCATCTTTTCATCAGTGACCTTAATATACTTGTACAAAAGGTCATCAAGACTTGGATGAGCTTGTTGGGGCCTCTGCTGGTATGACCCTGTTTGTTGATATGGTCTTGCTTGCTGATAAGGTCTGTAACTCGGTTGCCCACGATTTTGACTCTTGTATCCCGGCGGACCTTGTACCTGTTGTTTCTGGAAGCTTTGAGAGTTTTCTGTACCATTTGGGTTACTCCACTGAAATCCTGGATGCTTTTGTGCCATTGGACTCCCAAAAAGATATGGCTTGTAACCGATGACATTAACCTGTTCATCCGTTTGATTGGTTGCTTGACATTCATGGTTCTGGTGGTTTCCTCCGCACATGTCACAAGCCTCAAATTGATTTGATTGTTGTGTATTCACCTGAAAAGATTCAAACTTTTGTGCCAAAGAAACAATATGCTGCGTTAGTGTATTTAAAGAAAGCCTTTTTAATGATTACACGCTCAGATGGCCATTGGATAGCGTTCTCAGAAATTTCATTCAACAGTTGCAATGCTTCCTCTGTGGTTTTTCCCATTACAGAACCTTCTGCAGCTGCATCTATCACATTTCTAGCAGAGGGTTTTAGCCCATGATAAAAAATGTATAATTGCATATGTTCAGGAATTTCATGGTGTGGGCATTTTCTTAACATTGCTTTTAATCTTTCCCAAGCTTGATAAACTGACTCAGTGTCAGTCTGCAAGAAATTAGATATGTCTTGTCTTAACTTTGTTGTTTTAGCAGGGGAAAAATATTTATTTAAAAACTTCTGAGTCATCTGGTCCCATGTCGTAATGGACACTTGAGGCAAACTTCGCAACCAAGTCTTAACATCTCCTTTTAAAGAAAAAGGAAATAGCCTTAACTTGATAGCTTCAGGAGGTACTCCATTATACTTAGCAGTTTCTACCAGTTCTAGAAAATCAATTAAATGACTATGTGGGTCTTCACTTGTATCACCAGTGAAGATACAAGATTATTGAATTGTCTGAATCAGGCCGGTCCTGATTTCAAAGTTGTTGGCTGCCACTGGGGGCTTCCTAACACTAGATTCACAGTTGAAGCGATCAGGTCTAGCATAATTCCTAAGGATTCTGTTTGCTGGCCTTGGCGCCACTTCATCAAATTGCTCCTCTACATGGACTGGAGGTGGGATTCCAAGTGGGTTAATGTCCTCTGCTTCCTGGTTTTCCATTTCTTCACAAGTTGCTCCTTGAGAAGATGATATTTTTTCCTTCCTGCACAATCGAAGATATCTTTCAATTTCAGGATCGTAATTAGCCAATTCCTTTATAGAAGAGCGGGTCATAAACTACTTAAAATTTTAAAAGTAAAAAAAAATTAACATTACTTTCTAGTATAGTACTAGTAATTAATACTAAACTAAAGTAAATTTCAAATATAAATAGTTTGTGAAGAAAAATAAATATCACAATATTGTAGATAATAATACTAGTAATTAATCTAGTAAAATAAAATAAAAATGTAAAATAATAAAACTAACAAGTAAGCATTAGTAGTAATACTAACAGTGAATTGAAATAGTATAGTATTATTAATTATAAATAAAAGTTGTACTAGTGAATGATAGTGATCAATAAGAATAACACTGTAGAAGTACTACTACTACTAATAATAATAAGAATAATAACATTATTACACAAAAATATACAATGATAAGAAAATAACAATATGTAACAACAAGCTATATTGAAAAATAAAAAAGAAGTAAAAAAAAATGATATAACAGGTGATGGTACTAATATTAATTACACTAAATATAATGAAGGAAAGCTAATGATAGCAATAATAGGAAAAAGTACTAATATGTTTTTTTCTTCTTTTTAAAGTGCTATTACAAAAAAAAAAATGATAATATTAATATGACAGTAGTAGTTATAGTACTACTTAGTAATTAGTGATAATAGTAACAGATAAATAGCAATAATAAGGTCTCAAATTAGTAACAAAATATTTAATCTGAAGTAGATGTATGCCAATCCCCGGCAACGGCGCCAAAAATTTGACGAGGCCAATGTGTATAGGATTTTCCTGCTCGTGCTTTGTCAAATTCTAGTATAGTTTATGATATCGTCCCACAGAGATTGGAACATCTATGCTACAGACCCTTAATATTTCAACTACTATTTGAGAGAATCAGATTGATGAAAAGTTTGTGGAATTCAAACTTGTTAAATACTTAACAAGATCAAACAACTTCGAAAGATTTGTAATTTAAAAAAAATAGTTGGGAATCGTTGAATTCACTTGATAATATATTATAATAAAATCTCACTTTATACAAGTATTTCTCTAAAGGATAATTGCTTATTGCTAATACAATTATATCTTATCTCACCAAGAATTAATCAACTAATAACACTCCATGAGGTTATGTAATTAATTGAGTTAAAACTGGTGACAGTTAACCCGAAATATTTTTCTTGCTTGAATTGTGCTAAGAGGTAGTAAAAACTTCGTGAGAATATTTTTACTAAAAAAAATCAATAATCTTGCCTACAACAATTCCTCCGTGAGAATTAAAACTGAGTCAAGCAAAATTACCGACTTTTAATAATAGCTTGCTAATAATTGCTCTCACTTTACTATTTTATTCAATAGTTACTATATATTAATTTTGCTCCGTGAGAATTACAAAATTAATATGATAGTAACTTAACGATAAAATATATAGAAGTGATAACAATGATTAGGTAAAAACTATTATTATAGCACAACATAAAATATAAATAGAAAGTTTCAAGACAAGGATGTATTAAACTGAGATAGTATTATAATATATATATCAAGCTTCATCAACTATCCCAACAAAAGAAGTTTACTCCATTACGAAGTAAGAAAAACTAATTTAGGAATAAAGAACTTATGAAGAAATATTATTCTTCTAAAACAAAGACAACAAGTAGTAAATACTAAAGACAAAGAGAGACCAAGAATAGTTCTTCTCTGCTCAAGACTCGATGTCTTCTTTCCAACATGCACTCTCTATATATAGAGTTTTTTTTGGCTTAAGATTCTCCATAGTTGCAACTATGAAATTGTAGTTGCAACTATGGAAATTGTAGTTGCAACTATGGTCTTATCAATTGGACTTCCTTTTGCAGAGAAAGGCTATAGTTTCAACTATAGTTCTCTAGTTGCAACTATGGTGATTTCCTTCATGATTCCCAATTGCTATCGTCGCAACTATGGTGCTTTAGTCCATTTGCTTCTTCATTCCCAGTTGACTACTCAATTTCCACTTTTTTTTTTGCTTCTTTTCTTTGATTTTCGTATGCTCTTTCTCCTGCAAAGTATGTTAGAAAATATGGAAGAATATGATATATATATATTCATATTTTGTTTAAAATATTTAATATTTACATATAAAAATATATGAATAAATTATATCCATCAAATTCCCCCACACTTGAATCTTTGCTCGTCCTCGAGGAAAAA